ATCTTGATGTCTTAATATTATTTAGACGCACCCATAAGCTAACGCAATCATGCTAGCTGCCGTAAATATCTTGGGGCATGTATTTTATCACTAGAAAGCTTACTTCAAAAGAGATTTCTTATGGCATCAAAATCACTCACTGATCCATAGCTTCAAGAAAAATCGCCACAGATCCAAAAAACCTATTGCTCACAGATCTTAACGTACAAATCCCTTGTGTCCGAGCAACATCCTTCGGCTCACTTCCGTTATTGCCACATTTTTCAAAAGCAGGAACGGGGATGGCAAAGGGCACCCGAGGATTTAAGCGGACATCCTTTACATGCTTACTTTTGGGGGGCTTTTTTTGCTGTTCTGTTTCGGAGTTATTTTATGTGGAAATCAAACAGTTTTAAACCAAAATCGTGCATGTTTGGGCATCAGGAAATAAGGCAATGAATTTTGCTTTTGCGCATCTGGATCCGTGTACAGTAGGATATCATATCTCTATATTTTCATCTTTATAGCTTTTCATTTATCGCCTTTCACATTCACATGCACACACACACGCACACAATCATACACACACACATACACACACACACATGCATTTAAAAAACATAACAGCACATTTTCTAGCATTCACAAAAGCGCCTAAAAAGCCTGTGTACTACCACTGAAGAAAGGGATATGTAATGAAACACCTTCAATGAAGAATACTTCAGTATGTAGTGTATGTGTTTCACCTGTTGGCTAACTTGCTGATCCTGCGCAGCTACCACTTTCATGGACTCCTTTTCCTTGGCTGCTGCATTGCGTTGGGCCACTTGCAAGCGATTCAACACCGCAATCAATTCGCCCATCAATCGTTCACGGTGCACACGCATCGTCGGCGCATATCGCTAAATTACAGACAATTATTATCAGTAATTAACTCTGAGTATATAACGGTGGAGAATACCAACTGCCCTCCGTCTTCCTTCCGTCAATTTCGATAGCGTAAAGCTGAATGCGCTGCACTAGTGAATGATAGTGATCGGAGAAATTTTCGTGCTCTTCCTCCCACGTAAGCACAGTGATGTTTGATCTGTTTGTTATAAAGCAACTTATTAAGATATCAGCGTTACTCAACACAGCCTTGTGCTAAACCTAACAGTGGCGAATACAAAGTTTTTTTCAAGAA